CTTGGGAGTCCACCTCTGGCCAGACAAGAGTGACCCAGAGTCAGGACAGGAACCAGAGCAGCCAAACAGTGACAGGGGGCCATCGTCAGACCCAGACAGGGTCACAAACTCAGGTGGAGCAAGAAAGGAGCCAGATGGGAAGCCATGCAGGGGCTGGAGAAGAAGGACAGAGCCAGAGCCTGTCAGGCAGTGGTCAAAGAGGAGCACACGTCAGCAACCCCGAGGCAGGAGCGACCACGCTCGGAGGGCAGGCCCAACCTGGGGGAAGCCCTCTGCCAGGCAGTCACAGTTGTCGTCATGGGGACCCCAGGTGCAGCGAGACAGAAAGGCAGGGAGAGGGGGAGCCCCACGCAACAGGGCCCTCTGAAATTCATGAGGAATGGGTCGATGACCCCACGATGGAGATAAGGCCAGAAGAGCCCCCACACTAGTGTGTCCTCAGCTCAGGGTGGAGAGGCAGCTCAGCCCGAGGGGAGACAAGGCATCACAGGTGGGGGCCGGTCTTCCTACTTCCAAAGCAATGCACCATGGACAACTGCCCGTGGACTCCAGTATCCAGTCCCAGAAGACAGCTGGAGAGGAGCTGCTTGTTCTGCCGTGACCCGACCAGACCACCCACCTTGGGATAACCGCTGCTAATCTCAGTGGTTCCCACACAGGTCTTTCTCAGCGAGACCATCTCTGCACGGCGTTTTTGATCATACATTGCTCTTTCTTAGCTTTTTTTCTTCCCCCTGTGAAGACCTTCTCGGTAGCTGGAAGACATGGAACAAGTTATCCATTTGGGCTGAATTCTCCTCCGCTTTAGAAGTTTTCAGAGATATTTTTCTCTCTGCCAGTTATTTGCCCCAATGATCTTTATGCATGAATAAAACTTCCTAAGCAATTTCCCTGAGTGTTCCGTTCGCTAACCTTCTCCGGATGTGTGGGGCTGATGGGGTGTGGGATTATGACGGTGACCTTGCCACGTCCCCCTTCTTGAAGAACATCCAGCACAGAAAATATTGCAAAAGGTTTCAAGAGTTATAGAGAGTCAGAAAAAGGAGAGATTATTAGACCTTACTTAACACCGGGCAGAGATGGGTAAAGATGTGCTTCATCCAGAAGATGCTTGATTTACCGATTATTTTTTTTGGTAAAGCCTTTCAAAGAGCTACTAGGATTGGCACCAGTAGAGTTATTTTTAGTCTCATTGTTCTTGTTGGAAAACAATGGCAACATACGCAAACATGCAGAGACTATTAACAACTCCTAGATAAAATGAAATTCCAAAACTTTTACAGAATGGTGATCACTGGGCTAGAACTATGTGAGGTTCTGTAGCACCCCACAATGGATGCCAATGACTGCTCAGAGGAAAATTCACAGCAATCACTACTCATGTCAATAAAAAAATAATAATTAATTAATTAACTGTGCAGCTTGAAAAACGAGACAGCACGGCACGGAAACGTGGAAGGGATTAATAAAGGGATGAAAGGAAGTCAGAATAGCATTCCTGGGATGCCTCCAGTTCATCCAGGCCTGGGATTATTCCAACAGAACATGGTTTGCCTTATCTCTGCAATCCGGGGATGCAGACAGGTTCTCTCAGTACAACACCTGTCTGAGACGTGTTAGGGTGCCTTTCAAAGTGATGTCTTTTGGGGCAATAGGAAAACACAATTTTGAGATCAGGGCTAATTACATTGTTTTAAACAAAATTCAAGTGGACATCTTCCTGAATCATTGAAGCTTTGTAACAAGTGTACAAAATGCCGCCCCACATAAAACAACCGGTTTCAGGTGGGCCAAGCATTTTAAGGAAGGCAGAGAAGCCCTCAAAGACGAATGCTAGCAGAGGGGTCAGTTCAGAAGGTTAAAGCAGCTGGTTTGGGGAACTCCAAAGAGAGCATCTTGATCAATATTGTGTGAAGGACACGAGGCCTTACCAGGAAGAAGTTTGAAGAAAAACAAAAAATGGTATTCATGAGAAAAAGGCCTGCAAGGTGGCACCAAGGACTTCCCTTCTGGCCTTCATGACCATGCACCTGCTCAGTTCATCGAACTGTAGCACGGGAGGTCGCTGAGAATTTTTGGGGAACTTTATCCCACTGTCGTCCTAATCTTGTCCCCTCTGATTTCTTTTTCTTCTCAAATTCTCAAGGAATCTTTAAAATAGACATTAGTTGAGTCCTTCAAGGATATCAAAACCCCACTTTGAGTTCTCCAAAAATGTTCCCAGGTCCTCGGGAAAGAGTTAGTGAGACACAAACACCCCCTTCAGAAGCGTACAGACCTAGAGGGAGGATTGTCAAGAAACAATGGCTCCTCGTTGATTTACATTTTTGTTGAATAAAGGTTTCCATGATCTGGTAGCAATATTTTTGGACTTGCATAATGCTTTTTGGCTTTTTTACTTACATTAATTATATAAATAAAAATTAATGATTTACACAATAGAAAATCAGTACAATAAAGTTAAGTCAATAACCTGATCATTTAGATAAGCAAAGTAGGAAAGCCAGTCACTACCAAATTTTCAAAACGTTTAGGCAAGTATAATGCCACGAATCAGTTGACAGGGCTTTTCCAGCCCAAGTCTTTGTAGCTCCTATAAATTACTTGGTGGGACTTCGCAAATGCGATGTGTTTGTGGTCCACCACCCAAGGGGACTGGACAGTTTGCTAATGATGTAAAAAAGCTGCCTGGCACCACGTGGGATGGAGCCATGCAAACATGGTGTGTGCAACTCTAACATAGGAACTGCCGGTTTGGCTCTACTGTTCGGTTTAAAATGAGCCCTCCCGTGCAAAAAGGGAGATTCCAGGGACCATGAAGAAGAAGATTCTGAAGTGGAGCGCATCTTTTGGAACCCGAGACCCCTGCATCCAGAACCTCCTGGATCAAGGAGACAGACAGCTGGGACCCCAGAGAGGTGGTGGCAGCAGAGGCAGGTGCACCAACAGCAGCAGACTGAGCCTTGGACTTCCTGGCCACAAAGCAAGAAAGCTGCGTGCCTACAGGGTCAGGCTTATCCCAGAGGGACAGGTCTACCCTGTCCTCCGGTCAATGTGAGTCAGAATCAACTTGATAACAGTGATTTAGGTTTAGAGAAGGCCTTTATCTATCAGCAGAGCTAAGAGAGCTTTGTGACATTTCCTGAACAAGACCAAGGCCATAGGACCCACATGAGTGAAAGGCCAAGGATGAGAGAGAGGCATACTTGCCAGCATGGCTGAGAAGAGGCTCTCCTGATTGTAGAACCATCTCCTGAGTGTTTCTGATCCTGAAGTGTAACTGCTCACTTTCCTAATAAATCCTCTAATTCTGAGTATTATCTGTGAGTTCTGTATGGTCATTGCAACAGATTATTGAACCCAGCAGAGAAGTAAACAGGGCTAGGGAAGGGACAGTTGGCATCAAAATTGATAAAGAAGACTGGAGAGTGGAGATATGACTGACTGCAGCCTTGCAGAAGTCAGCCTTGGGTGGCTGTTGAGTTTGTTTCTCCGTCTCACTTGTGAAGGAGGAGGAGGTCGGATGCTGATCCCATGCGTTTTGATAGCAAGAAAGCACAGAAAAGAAGAAATAGCA